GATATTTTTGGTACTTTCTAATTATCTGCATTCCTAATGAAAAGTCACAATTTCGTTCGTAACCTTGAATAGAAATATTTGTGTATTTCAGTGATACATCCATTGCTTTTTCGTTCCCCTGTTTTTCATCTCCATACGCACAGCAATCTGTTTTTGCTTTAACACGTATATATATATATGTATATGTGTGTGTGTGTGTGCGTATAAAATATGTATATAATAAAAAAATTTAAACGAGCGAAAGAGAACTCTGCATCGCATACAGGGCTACCAAAATCTTAAAATGGGAAGTAGAAAAGTGGTACATGATACCTTTTCTGCTGTATGCATGCAGAAAGGTAAGTCTGAGGTTTTACTAAAGACGATAAAAGCTGCAGTATGAGGTCCACTGCTATGATAAAATTCCCATAGAGGGAACATGATCTGGTCAAAAATATCTGAAGAAGTGGAAAGTCATCTGGAGATATACTACACATACAGCAGGATTGCCACAGAAAAAATTTTTTTGGTGCTGGCATGGATTGCAACATAATTACTTTTTGGCCACTAGTGGTCTTATCAATACTTTTTTGTAGCTTTTTTAAGGGGGTATGAATAATCAGAAAGTACATTTTTTCTTTCTGTAGTTTCTAAGCATCAGCATTTCTTCACATTCATTACATATGTTTTTAATTTATCACTGATCTAAGAAGCAGATGTTCTTCATCTACAATTCTCTTGGAATTTAATATATGCTGAGGAAACTGGATTGTCTCCCAAACATTAAGAAAATGGGAAGTTTTCCGGTGTGCCTGTCACCTTGGAGCATTGAATGTCATTATGTACCTGAGCTTGCTTTGCAATTAAGCCTGGCGTGCAAAAATTATTCTAACAAAATCTACTTTTTATTGAAACATTTGGGTTCTTGCATGTGTTATTCAAATGTTATTTCTTGCAATATAAACAAAAAATGTAATACTGAAAATAAAAAATTCAAAATAAGTTAAAGTGCAGTATTAGTTGTAATGATTGTATTTACATTTAGCAGTAATAATTGTATTTACATACTTAAACTAATTCTATACAATAATGAAATGAAAAACATAAAAGTTTAAATGTTAGTACCCATTATTTTCTGTTACCATATTTATATAAAACATTTTAAACCACTTTCACTGAGTGAAACATTCTAAATTCTGGATGTGCATTTTACATTCTACATTCATGGAATAAAATAATAAATAGTATTCATAACAACAAGACTTCTAGAAATTCTACTGAGTAAGGTTTTGCAGCATTTGAACACAATAAAGCACATTTAAAATTTGAAAATGCTCACTTCAAATATCGTATCATCAGCATATCAAATATAATTGCTGATTCAGCAGTGACTCTTCATTCCCATATCATGTTTGATACAGTGGGAACACAAAGGGAAACGGAAGCATATCATGTATAAAACGCTGAAAGCCACATAAAAGATATTTTGGTGACACAGTGTATTGCCTTGTAAATATTTTTCAGGTGCTGCAAATAATTATAAAGAATAATTTTTTCATTCTATGCCATTTTAAATATTGTATTTAATGAGGTAGCTTACCTTTCATTCAAGCATATCATGTGTAAAACACTGGAAGCCACATAAAAGATATTTTGGTGACATATGGGTTGCATGTTTTAATGACACAGTGTATTGCCTTGTAAATTTTTCAAGGGGTGCAAATAATTATAAAGAATCATTTTTTCATTCTACACCATTCTAAATATTATATTTAATGAGGTAGCTTACCTTTCATTCTAATCAGAATTATGCTGTTACCAAATATTCATTCACATTTTTATTTCCTAAAATGTAAAGCGGGAGTTGTTTTGAGGTAAATAAAATATGATTGTTTTTGTAACCAGATTTAGAGTAAATGGTTAAAATACTGTTTTAAAGCATAAATAGTATAAATCAAATACACTCTTTTGCAAAATAATCGAAGCACCAAGAAGGACTTTGGCCATCGTGACGAAATTTGGTATGCCAAATCATCTTGATCGAACATGCACATGATCAAAGTTTCAAGGCAAATGAACAGGAATTGCGATCATAGTGCATAATTCGCAGAACAGTAACACAGAAGGAAAATTTACCTTTTTTTGTTGCTGTCATTATAATTCCGCACAGAAGCAACTAAGATACCATTACAACAATATCGAAGACCTTACAGTCAACTAAAAGACTTCGAGCGTGGTCGTGGGTTGCGTGAAGCTGGGTAGGCATACCGAGCAATAGGCCCCCAACTGCAGTGTACAGACACTGCTGTGCAAAAATGTTGGCAGTAGTGGTTGCTACAAGGAAATTGCTGATGAAATGAAGGCTCTGGAAGGCCAAGGAGCATAAATGTGAGGCAAGATAGGATGATTGTTTGCCAGGCCCGAACCGCCCCAATGGTGTCATTGTCGACTATTTAATGCACTTCATCCACGTCTATACCTCCCGTGGTAACGTCCACCATATGGCATTTGTCTGAGGTGGGGTTATGCTCACAGAGGCCTTTAAGACATTTGCCTTTGACCCCACATCGGCGGAGTCGTCTGGAGTGGTGTCGTAGGCGATCATCATGGCTGCCATCAGACTGGCATCTTATAGTGTTCAACAATGAATCCCTTTTCACTCTTGAAGCAGATCACCAGCGTGTTCATGTCTGGAGAGGACAGGGCCAGCGGTCCCAATCAGTCTTTGCTTTACAAAGGCATACAGCCATAATCCCTGGTGTGATGGTGTGAGGCACTATTCTTATGACAGCAGATCATCTTTAGTCATCCTCTGTACATCTTTAACAACTCAACGATACGTTGATACCATCCTGCGGCCGGTTGTATTACCCTTCATTACACGTCATCCTGGGGCCATTTTCCAACAAGATAATGCCAGGCCACATTACCACTCACATATATCTGGACTGTCTCCTTGCAGTTGATATTCTTCCTTGGCCAGCAAGGTCACCAATCAAGCATGTCTGGGACATAGTAGGCCGCCAGATTCAGGCACCACAAAATATTGCAGATTTGGAGCGACAACTGTTGAATGCCTGGGAGAATGTGTTGCAGGATGACATTAGGAACGTCTACCACTGCTTGCCTCAACGAATTCAAGCATGCATTGCTGCCAGGGGTGGTTCGACCAACTACTAATTTGAACACTCAATGGACGATTGTGAGTCGTGACAGGCACTATGATCTTGATTTTTTTAAATTATTTTTATTATCTGTGTATGGTTTGGTTTACTTAATTATGGCAAAGCACACTAGGGCTATCTGCCTAAGGGGAGGAATGCCTTCATGGAGGACTTTCTAAGGGAAACTGGCTTGTATACACGTTACACATGGGGAAAACCATGAAAACGCCCATGCAGCCAACCCGTTCGCGGGATTAGAACCTCAGACCAAACTACCAGTGTTCAGTGACTTTACCGCTTAGCCGCTGGTGGGCCATTATTATCTGTGTATGAACTATACACATATTCAATTTCATCAGAAACAACCACTTCCTTCATGGTTCGATTTTTTTGCAAAAGAGTGTACGTTGGTGTTTAGAACGAACAGAATTTTTACATTTGAATGCTTACGTGTCAAACTGATAGACATATTTTAATGGGCATGGATATTCATATTCAGAGAAAAAAATAGTCAAATTTTCTGGTTAGCAGTTAGCAGTATATGTAAAAAAATGTAAAATGAAGGTGATATAGTGCTGTGCTGAACTTGCCCCAGTTATCAATCAAATAATGAATGGCAAAACATTACATTTTTAAAATTCTGAAATATTGCGATTTAGTATTATGAAAAAAGTGATAAAGAGGTTATTGAGAATGAAAGGATTTCAATTGATTACATCATGGGAATTCTCAAAACAATAGTTTGTGAGATTCAAACAATCAAAATTTGTAAAAACAAGAAATTTGCTCTCTTTATAAAATGAAAGAGAAATTATTAACACATAAAACGAAGTTGCTTAAACAACTTTAATTAAAAGAAAAAATTAGTGAAGCAAAACAGATATCAACATTCAGCTTTTGTTGTGTTTTTGTAAATTTTGGCTTAAGTTAATAAGTTCTTCATTATTTCACAAACAACCCCTCATGTTTTTAATTTTATAATTTCTACATGTAATCTTACTAGATTTAAACTGATGATCTAAAATCCGTAATCAGTCACGAAAGTTCTCATAAGTCTGGATACTGCACCATACAATAATCATGATACACATACATGAATGTAAAGCTGATTGGTGCAGGAAGATCTAAAATAAAGATTGCAAGACTGAACGAAAAGGGATGATAATAAAGGGTATGTTAGCTCTCACAGCATTTCTTCACATTGGAAATGAAACCGTTTATAAGTTCTTATGATAGTTCTGCTTCTGCAGCAATGTAATTTTCAGATCCTGGAGGATTATGGGAGAAGGAAGGTGAGTTAAAATTGCTTTCACATGAGCATCCCAGATATGTTCTATTGGATTCAAGTCTGGAGATCTAACTGGCAATCCATCTGGTTAATATCCTCACTTTCCAAAAAAATCAGTCTCCAAATTAGCCTTTTGCAGCCAGGAATCAGTGTTCTCATCCGTAAGAATTAATTAAGAAACAATTACAGCCCTGAATTTTGATTGAGCAGATTGCTCTTTATTTAGTTACATAATCAAGAGATACAATTAAGGATATAGCATATTAAAAACTAAATAAATATGAGCTCATGCTTTGAGATTATCTGGGAAACAAATTCATTAAAACTCAAACAAACCATTCTGGCAGCAAGAAATCCCTAATCTTTCCTATATGCCACATTCCCATTATTGACTCTCCCATTTCAAAAAAGTTATGAAGGTTTGAGTGGCAAGTTGTGTTCTTCTCTGTGCTTAATAACAAGTGGAATGATTTCAATTATATATGTTTTAGAGTGTGCATGAATTTGTTGGATATTATAAATATGATTGCTTTTTGAAATCATTATTCACAATTTGCATTTTTTTTTAGCCAAAAGTTAAATATGCTTCAGTGTGTGAAATGCAAACATTGGTTTCATGAAGGTAAATGCTTATTCTTTTTTAAACTGTAAACTATGTAAATTTTATATAAATGATATTAAATATAATTTTATGTTTATTAAAAATTCATGATAAATTTTATATTGTTACATACTGATTTTGTATTTGTAGATTGTGTAAAGTGCCTTGATATGCCTATGCTATATGGAGATAGATTCTACATTTTTATTTGTTCGCTCTGCAATGCTGGCTCAGAATGCTTGGCTAGATTAGAAATGAAATGGTAATATATTTTTTTTTAAATTGAAAACCTTGTATATATATATTTTATGTATATTCATAATTTAGTATTTTGCATAGAGTTTTCTTAATACACTTCCTTGGATTCTAATTTTCTTCTGCATTTTGTTATTATTTTACATATTAACTTTTTACACTCGTATTTATATTTATAGACTTCAATCTGCTTAGAATTTTTTTATATGCTAGATTAAGATGGAAACGTATTACACCTCAGATTGCAGGTTTTATAACTAAATAAAATGTAGTTTTACTTATACTTCTTTAGGCAGGGCAGCTGGGCTAGTTCACTCATGCAGTAGATGCCCCAAAAGTCAGCTGGGGTGAGGGGAAGAGAGACACCTGGGATACTTAGATTAAGCTTCTCTGGCTTGTTGACCCACTACCCCCTCCATTCCACTTCCCTCCACATACCATCAGGCAGGTAAAAAAAGTCTACATATGAGCACAAGTGCAAAGGGCTGATATTTTTTTGTTTTTTTCGGTGAAGTCAAGTCTTGCAGTAGCTATACTGAGCTTTTAGTATTTTAATCATCTTAACTTTTTTGAATGAATTTGGATTTCAGGTGTGAACAATAAAAGCTTATATAATAAAAGCCAACTATCTGGCATTCAAGTAACCAGAATATATATATATATTTTAAAGTTAAAATGAAGCAAATAAGAAGTTTATAACTCCATTCTAAAACACGAATAGGACTCGATTCGAACCAAACAAAAACTTTCACCAGTTAGTGCTATTGAAATCTAGTAATGGATAAGCATGATGGAACTCTGCTTTATATAAACCTGAATAATTCTCAATAAGTGAGTTAAATTAAAAAAAAAAAAAAAAAAAAAAAAGATTAAAATGCTTGTTTGACTATTTTTACAGCTCATACATATTGTTCTAATTATAAATAATACTAAAAAGAATCATTTTATTAACCTCATAAGTCTATTACATTTAGAATCAAACACAACTATTGCAAATTTCAAGAGTCTGGAAATTTGGTTCGCTATAACGGATGGTTCACCAGTCCTTAAAATTCCTTGGGTTTTTTTAAATCCGTTTTGGTCCTGAAAGGTCCTTAATTTCACCCAAAACCAACAGAAAGTCCTTAATATTAATTATCTAAAATTTCAGTTTCTGCAACTGCCATTTTGAGTGTGAATTAGCATTTTGGAGACGTATTTTTGCCGATTCACTGACAAATTCTTAAACAACTTTCCTCTTTGAGGGTATGAATTCTTTTATTAAACGGTTCTAAATTTGGCGACTAACCAACATTTTGGCAATTTTAAAATCTGTTTTTATAGAAAATTTGTAATTCCAAGATCTGGGAATTTTTTGGACTATTTTTTTAAAAACATTTTAACATTGATGAATCTCATTAAAATAATAGTAATATATCAAAATTATATTTAAGAAATAACATTAAAATAGAATATTTTTATTTTTCGCTATCATATTATAATGGGCATTTACTTTCCATTTTGGCAACTAATTATTACAATATTTTCAATGTGAAAAATAAACAAGGTTATAAATGGTATAACACACAATTAATGAAACAATTCTTAGCAAAAAAACAAAATAACTATGTAATTAACTAAAAATGCCTTTTTAATTTTTTCATGGTAAGAATTTTTTCATGTAGTTTCCTCAGAATATCCAGAATTCTCAGAATATACACCAGTTTTCTCTACAAAATTAATTTTGCACTTTTTTCCCTTTCAAAATATTTCTGGCTTCTTGCCGTTACAGAATTGGTAGTGATAATTTTTCTAGGATTTTAGACATTGCAATTTGGAAAGTTTAGAAAGATTTGAAGACAAGATTTATAGACCTACGAATCTAGAAGACTCCAGAAAAATGTCTTCATGGTATTAACATGGATATATTTTACAGAAAGTTTGTGATGAACTTTTACTTTTTGGAGAATTTTCAGAACAATAAAAATATAATATTTGAATGTTTTACTTCTGATAACTAGAAGTCTTTTTCTTAACATGTTTATCTTCCCTTTGTTTTCTCTGCTTTTCACTAGACATAAGCATATAAAATATCAAAACTGCTTCAAATCTTATCTCATGGACAAGCATTTATAGAAAGGGATTTTTCCATTAATAAAGAAATTGAAAACTGACGATTTAAAAGATTCGTCTTATATGTCTCAATGCATCAAACATCATACACAGGGCTGGTGCTACGCATTTTCCCACCTGATGCAATCTCTGTGGATCCAAAATTCTGCTGCCTAGTGCCTTCCTAAATTCTAAAATTTTGCCATTTCTAGATTTTGTTGCTCGATGTGTCACTAAATTCTAAAAATTCTCCTACACCAGCTCTGTAACCAGCCCTTAGCATGTATCACGTCATATTTGTTCTGAATTTTCAAATTACCACCTTTTTCTATACATTCTAAATACATTTAGATTTTTAGAATAATAGAAATATTTAATTAAATCCAGAAAAATCTAAATTGAAGAGGAAACATACTGAAGAAAGAAACTGAATACGTAAAGAGCAAGAGAACTATTCTTCAAAGATATGTACAGTTATTATTATGCAAATTAACCAGTTGTTTATAATTTCAGCCTTTACCTAAACTTCCTCTTTCTGTTTCCTCACAGAAATTAAATCACTTAGATAGTTTTTAAATGGAGATTTTTGGATTGTAAGGTAATGTGTGTTTTTGGCCTTCGCTTGCTCACTGCATTAGTTCCTGCCAGTTCTGATAATTTGTAATTATTCATCTTTGCGTTATCGCATTTGAATTTGTTACGGCAATAGAGTTACTGAGTCAGCTTAGATTAAAATTAAATTGTGTAGTCTTTGACTACTAGTCCATACTTTAAGTTTGAATTTAACTGTTCCTGTTTAATTACATTCCAATGAGCTGTAGTTGATTTTGCTAGCACAAGAACACTTTCTCTTCCAAGTTCTTGTTTAAGTAAGAGCTTTATTTAAATCTTTATCTGACTTTGTAGTTACTTTCAGACATAATGATAATTTGCTTCACGTCTGTCAGGGCTTTTGTGCTATTTTTACCAGATCAAGTAAATCCTCATAGGTATATTGTTGAAAGATTGACAAGCTAGGAGATAAAGCATGCAGAAACTAGGTTGACATTGGTTTGAGTATTGAAATAAAATCTAATTGTTAAGAGAAGATGCTTGAAGAGAAAGAAATTGGTATAAATTAGCCCAAATGCCTATGAAGGATGTGTAATTATCCTAATATTGTTTGCCCATTTCACTGTCATACAAAACTACAATTTGTGCCTTCTCTTTTTTTCCCCCCTCCAAAGAAAAAATTTTTGCATCTGAAACTGGCCTTACAAATGTTTCTTCTTCCCTTTCATCAGCTGTAAAGATATATTTACAAAATCATTTACTCATCTCCCTACCTAGGAGAAAAAAATTTTTGGTCTCTAATCTCTTATCTGAAAATTAACAGAGACTATCCCCTAAAGGTTTCATTTCAATACCTGCTGGAAGTGCATTCTTATTTTCCATCTTTGTAATCTTTTACCGCTGTGGACGGAGCATGGTGCAAGCAAGCCATCAATCACCTCTTTTCATTTTCGCTGCATTCTGTTTCTTAGGGTTAACAATGCAAGCCACATTTAACCCCAATGAGTGAGTGATGTTGCTAATGCCTGATAACAATTTTCAAAAGAGCTTGTCTTGGGGGGGGGGACTTTGAAGTGGTTAAGAATCAATATCATACATTAGATGTATTTTAAACTGTGAAATGTTATTAAATTGTAATTTTAATTGTGCTTTTTAATACATATTTTTAAAATAAATAAAATTTAATAGTGGCCATGTAAATCTATAATGATTAAGGCTATCTAATTTAATTATTTGTAACTAACTGCTCACCCTTAAAAGCTATCTCTGCATATTGAAGCGAATTAGTGCCTTTCATTAATCCTTACTGTGGTCACAAGATACAGGATAAAAATGTAAAAATTAATTCAAAATTTATATTTTGCATCTAGTGAGGGTTAAAATTATACAAAAGAACTTATCACCCCTGGTGCTTTAGTGGCTTATTGGAACCATAAAGTATATTAACTGGATTACAACACCAGAAAGTTTACTGAAAGCTACAACACTAACTACATCAGACAGACAAAGCACAACTGACTTTCAAATCATGCCTACTTCAGGTTTCTTCTGATCAGCAGGTCTTTGTCTCGGGAAGCAACAGCCATTCTTCTATTAGGAACCATGCTGATTATGATTTTACTTCTTCTTTTAACCTATGCTGTTTGACATAAAATCTACCTGTTCTGTACTAAACCTCTAGACTGAGCAAATACGTGACAAAATGAGACATAAAAGAAAAAATCAGCATAAAGCTAACTGTTCTAATCTTTACTCAAATATGTCTGGCTATTATAAGTGTAGAATATTTAATGCTACTTGATAAATTTTATAAAGTTAATTTTATTCTCAAATTTGTGTTATAATTATGTTTATTAAATTATATTTAATAATAAAATATCCTACTTACAGATCTGTTTTATCCTTAGGATGATATTACAAAAGTTCAACCAGATCTGTGGGTTCAGGGATATATCATATCTAATATACTGAATAAATTCATTTCAGTTACCATTTGCTGATAGGTTCTTAATTTTTTTCATTAATTGTCCTTAAAAATACTGCAGAAATGTATACAAACCCTGTTAAAACATGCAAAAATTGAATGCTGAATTACACACACTCACACTAAGTACTAACAAATAAACTGGAAAGATTAATTTAATAACATATACCAAAATGAAGTTCAGAGGTAGATAATATCTTGAATTGAATTTATTCAGTTACCATTTGCTGATAGATCCTTAATTTTTTTTCATTAATTGTCTTTAAAAGTACCTAATTTCCATGTGCAGAAATGTGTATGAACCCTGTTCACTCTTCATGATCTTAGAAGAAAAACTCTACACAAAAACATGCAAAAACTGAATGATGAGTCTCTCACACTAAGTAACAAATTGGAAAAATTAATTTTATGACATATACCAAAATGAATAATAAATCTTATTTAATATGCTCACTGCAGAAGTTAATTGTGTCCATTCACATGTGCCAAGATACTAGCTTCATTTTATGCTTTTAAATTATTTTATGATTTAAATATAGATATAATAGAGTACTTTTAGTAGTAACTAAATTCATTAATATATACTTATTACTATTATATTATATAAATATTATATATATACTTATTACTATTATATTACTACTATTAATATAAGTATACTCAATAGTTGGCATATGAAATAATATTTTTGCTCCCTTTGGCATGTCCAAGATAAGAACTAGATAAATAATGCAAATAATTTCTTAACATTAACGCTGAACTCCTCACAAACAATACCTTAGTCTCCATTACTCTCAAATGAGTCACCGAACAAGAATTCAGCCATCTGCCTATAACATTTTCAAAGTTAATAAACCCAAAAAAAGTAAATACAATTTTATGTTCTAAGCATTTAGTTATCGTTTTGAGAAATAAATTATCCATATTAGTATGCCAAGTGTATTGTTTAGGCTCCTTCTGCATGCAAAACATTGTAAGTATTGCATGCATTTATTACAGCAATATTCATACTTGATAATTTAGATCAATCAGTAATGAATTATCTCGCAGCTGGCAAGTAAACTAAGTTTGAAACCTACAAGTATTCCCAAAGACTGCAGTGAACATGTTAAAAGAAATCACATTAAATTACAATTACTGTTACGCTCAGTTATTCCAGTTTCATTGCACATTTTAATTTTACACTGTAAGTTATTTGGCATAAATAGTAGGGTTCTGATCCTTCCCTCGAATTATGCATTTATAACTCTGCATAATTATTTTACATATAAAAATATAAAACATAAAAAATTAATAACACAATTTAGTGACAATTTATTTTTAACTTTAACTTAAATCCTGAGCACAAAAGTGATCTGTAATTACTGGCTGATATGATAGATATTGCAGGAGAATTTTATCCATACCTTTGTCCAAAAATTAAAAAAATTTCATCACTTTTGGTTGCACAGTTTGTGTGAGTAAAAGCTTATTAATAATACTCACCACAGTCTTGCAAAGCCTTTATTTCAAACACAGAGAAAAGTGGGGATACAGGTAAAAGAAAATTAATGTTTTCCTGTATGGATGGAATGTTGGTCCTAATATCCTAAATGTGGATGATATTAAAGGCTAAAAAAATATGAAAAATGCAAAAAAAAGGTGCAGTTGAAGATAGCCATATAATTCATTATTAACATTTTTCATATGTCTAGGCATTTGTAATAGCGGTATAAAACAGCATTAATTCGATAGGATATTGGATTTGAATAAAATATTCGTTCATTATATTCCGGTTTCTTCATAGCAGTGTTCGAATGCAATTATAACTCAAAAAATGCTATGGGGTTGAAAAAGATCAATAAAACATGATTAAATAGGAACCCTGTATATCTGTGTTCTCAAACACATTTGTGGGTTGAGTAGTTTTATGTGTAAACTTGAATATATGCGAAAAATTCTATTGAGCATTGAAACAAGATGCAGATAATCAGAAAGTACAAACATTTTGCTGCTGCCTTTATATTTCCTAATAAAGTGTCAGTGCATTCCTGTAGAAGAGTAAAAGTTAATATTGTGTACCAATTACTGAAAGCAATATTTAATTATAAAAATCTTTACCGTATTCGCTGGCGTATAAGACGCACTTTTTTTCTTTGAAAATAGGTCTGAAAAACAGGGTGCGTCTTATACATTGATACTCAGTTTTTGATTACATTCATTTCTGGAAATTTCTTCTATTCAGAATTATGCAATTTCCCCCCTTTCTTGTTTCCTTGCGGATTGTGAAAATATTATAGTTGCGCAGAGTTCAATGAATGCGCATGCACTGTCATTGATGATCACAGCTGGGTTCGTTTAAACTTTCCAATTTTTGTGAAAGGTTTTTAAGTGTGTGAAATTTCTACTGTTCAATTTTCTTAAATTTGTTGGCAAGTAATGGCTTAAAAACAACGTCGGTATTGCTATAACGCAGCATACAACCTACGTGTGATTGCGTATGCTAAAGAACATGGTAATAGAGGCATTTCGGGCCATCCCCCAACTAAGAAAATGGTAAGAACTTCAGAAAATAATAAGAAGATGGAATCAGGAAGAGGACCTAAAAAAAGCAACTCGTAGATTGGGTATTTACAGAAAGTATTACTTTGTGTTTGTATTGCTTTATGTTTAAAATACTGTAAATTCATTATAATGATCAATGATTAAAGTTTTATCCTTCAAAATTATGTATAAAAAAGAGGTGTGTCTTATACTCCGGCAAATATGGTGTATAAATATTAGTCTGTCAGTTCTGGCTTTTTTTAAAAAAAGGGAGAGAGACAGACAGAAAGTTGTAGAAATGAAAATAATCTTCATAATCAATTCCACAAGTTTGTAGCTTGACCAAGATTATCTGTGCTAAATTTGTCACTGGAATTGTTATCTAAATTATTTTCACAGTTGTCAAAATCAGTCACAAAAATTCCAGATTCTGTCTTCAGTTTCAAATCACTATCGATAAGCTGCATACATAGAGTTCTGTTGATGTAACGTTTGAGGCAAATTTGCACCATAGAAATTTAAATGAATTTTCTTAAATTATAGTAAAAATACATGATAACTGGGATACAGTTTGACCTTCCATAATGAGTGATGGATTTGTTATATTGAACTTTTCTTTCCTATAGGTAACTGTCAAAATAAATTTAATCCATTGTCGAGCCTGGTTCAAAATTGAGAAGCACTTTAAAAAGGATTTCAGAAAATCTTAAAACAGCATTAATATTATAAGTGCAAAAAATGAAATAATTTATTATTTATACTGTATATATCCTCTATCTTGCAGCTTTTCAATTCTGTTTAGTTTAATCCTTCCTTGTTTTTCACTAGAGGTGGAAAATTGAGTTGCCCTTGATTTACTTGCTCATTTACCTTCAGTTTGGGGGGGGGGAGGAAGGTACATCTTCACTTCTTCTGGATGGCCCTGAAGTAACATATCACTAATGACCAGATAAGCTACTGTGTTCACCTCTGATTAATTGTAATGCCATTGCATTTTTGTGCTCTCTTCCTACAATTCATTCTTTTGTAAAGGTAGGCTTTTCTCACTTTTTAAGAAGCTTCTGTAGGAAGTTGACACAAGCAAGAAGGCAGCATATTTAATTTTATTTAAGATCTCATTCTAGGGTATTTACAATTTTGCAGGATAATGTTCTCAGCGAAAAACAAGGGGGGGGGCGCAAGCATTAAAAAAAAAAAAGATGATGCACAAAATCTTCTGAAGTTCTTGTCCTTCACTTGGACATTAAAGTTCTCAGGAAGTTTTTCTTTTTGATGCAGGTTGAAGTTATTTTGTAAGGGAAACAGCCTTGATACCTCTCCTGGCCACAGCTGCCCATTCTATGCAGGTTGCTTTCAAATTAGACAATATAAAATCAAGCTACCTGATTTCTCAGCAGATTTTCTCTCAATTGGCAAGAGGACCCTGATTTCTTGCAGGTATAATGTTGGCAGGCCACAGAATAGAAAATCTGCGGCTGTGATTTGGCACTCAAACTGGAGTGTCGTGAAGGCAATCGATGCGTAACAAAGCATGTATAAACAGATGCATGGGAATTTGGACAGAGGACTTCCATGTTCCAGTTTTTCTCAGGAACAAAAGTGTTTCTTCTGCGAACCACCATGAAAGGAAATAAAGACTTAATGATTACAGATCATGTTCAACTTTCCTGAGAATTGCTAAGTGCTCTTTAGAAAATAACTATTTTAAGAATTTCGTGGTGGTCATCAGGAAACAGCCTGAAGTTGTTGTAGAGTTTGATTATTTAATTATAGCAATAGGCTTGGCCTTTGTTTTCCCTCCCTGACCAGAAGAAATTTCTTCTAGGCTTCCTTATGTTTTTGATGAAAAAGAGGTTGCAGATCTTTATTAGTAGCACTGTGTTGTGAAATATATTTATTTGCCTATTTCTTTGCTTTTTGTTTTCTTAAAAAATGTAGTTTTTAAAATGTATTTATATACTGCTAAAAAAGAATGTAAAACATTAATGAGTAGCATATATGCACAATTCATAATGTGGAATCGAGATTATTTTACAGGATATCTTTTAATCCTTACATGCATTCATTCTGCATGACATTTGTTATATAAAGCATCTCTGAACTTAAAATGATAATAGATGCTGATAAAATGTAAACATTTCTGAAAGCAGCTCAAGACAACCAAGAGCTAAAATACTATTTTCATTTTTAAGTTTATTTAATTAAATGTAAAAATAGTCCTAATTATTTTAAACTGAACAAACTAAGGAAAAGACAGGCAGAAGAAAGAATGGGGAAAATAAACAACCAACCTTTGCTTAGGGAAATGGTAAAGTGCCTAAAGCAATACACAGTGGTATGTGAACAAAAGTTTTACTTAGTTTAATAAACAAAAATACATTTTCTGTCATTTTTGTCCTATTTAAATGGCTTAACTGTACATTTATTGGGATTTTTTTATGTTGTTTAAAAATGTTAATATATTAGTTTTAGCAATTATTTTTCTATTTTATTAATCAAATAATATATGCTCTTGTTTTATTTAATGCACGTGTCATCGTTATTTATTTTACTTGTTTTTACATAAACAACTTTCAGTGTTGTCTAATGTTTTATTTTAGGGCTGAAATTATTCAGTTGCTTTTATATAATCTTACTATTGAGCACAAGAAAAAGTATTTTGATTTAGATGCATCAGTGGTTCCTTTTCTTTATGAAAACTGGGAGAGATTTCATATTTTGGGACCTGTAAGTATATATAAGAAATTGATTATTTTCTTTTAGTTTTTTAATGATTAATAATTGTTGAAATTCTGAACCTAAGTATTAAATAAAGCTATTTTTCCCCGTCTGTTTTTTTTTTTTTTTTTTTTTTTTCAGATTATTTATATTAAAGAAATGATTTACTAAAAACTTTTTAATTATCTATTTATAAATTATTTTTTAAGTGGCCATGTTCATGCTTAAATCTGTGTTAAGGATTCCTTTCTAAGTAGATTTTTGTATAATTTTGTAAAGGAGAAAAATTTAAATGATATTCTTTTTTAAAAAAATTATGTTTTGCCTATTTATACCCAATTTTTTTGTTGAAACACATAAAAGTAATATATCTAATTCATTCTTTTGTAATACTGAATTTAGGGAAATAATTTTCTCTAACTGTATGGTTAAATATTACATATATAAATCTATTCTAATATGTTTGTGATTTAGTTCTTTTGAAATCTTAAATTCATGAGTAAACTTTCCAAACATTATTATGTAAATACAATAAGTTGTTAAATTAGTAAATATGAAGTGTCTACAGTGTGTTGTTGCGACTTTGCAGTATTTTCCAGCATTCTTTTTTAGAACTAGAATAAGATACTTTTTTTTTTTCAAAATCTTTTCTGAGTAATTAAAAAAATTAACAGAATTTTGAAGTGCATAAATTAGTCCTTTATAGTAGAATCACATTCAATAAATGAATGAAAATTAATAATAATAAGTGAAAATTCATTGAAAAGTTTTTTTTCAAATTAGACTTGTGGAATTTAAGTCTCGTTCTGTTACATTAGAATTCACCATGTTATCTCTGGGTCCCCTGTGTTCAGCACCTAAAAAACATGGTGTTCAACATTCATACACGTACACGCATATATATGCACTGTCACAAAAATAAACTATATATGCATCCAGACAGAAACGAACTACTATCAAGAAACTTAACATGTATGAGGAGATAAATTATTACAAATTCAGAACAAAAGATCGTTTTATTAAGAAGTTCTGGCATGAAAAAGGTTACAAATCAGTGTAGTATATCCATCTTTGGCCAAACCGAAACACGGTGTAGCATTGAATCAAGTAGGTCATCTATGATCCCCTGCAGAAGATCATGCCATGATCTTTGCAACTTTGTAGTTAATTCTCAAATATTCTGGAACATTTGCAGTCATGGAGGTAGGAAAGGGAGGAGGGGCCAACCCGCGCTAAAAGTGAAGCACTGCTTTGAAGCTTGGGTCACCAGATGGGGTGTTCTTTGTTTACATTCAGAAGCTCACTTGACAAGATTCTGATAATATTTCGACACACGACAGTTCCATAGAAATCGAAAAAGGGACACTTTCGCATGAAAGAAACATTCATAGTGTGATGGATAATAGCAATTTGTATAGTTTAGTGACATTTACGCAAAAATTACATCTTGGTTGTTTTTCGATAACTAACAACAGCGATTTTGATTATGAATTTGTTTTATAAAATCTAAAGCTGTTGCACTACAAAAATATAGATTTTAAGAAAAATGTTAGCTAAAGAATGAAAAATACCTTATGGTACATTTAAAATGTATACGTCTTTCGATACCCTTGATAGAGTATTCGCACTTTATTTTATTTCCAAACGTCAAATGTTTTAAATAAAAAATTTTTTCCACATCCATATAGATTTAACATGTACCTTTTAAAATTTTTTAGAGGACAGGCTTACTGCTGCTCATTTAAACCCATCGTTTTAATTTTATATATCTGAAAAATAATCACTTTGGGTTACACGTTTTATAAATATAAAATTATGTATGTTAAAATATTTGTAATTAGGCACATAGGTCAGATTAAGTTTTATTAAATAGAGTAACGCATGCAAGGGCTATCTGCCTAAAGAGAGAGATGCCATCGTGGAGGAATTTTGAAGAAAAACTGACCTTTGAGTGGGTATTAAAAATAAATACTTATAATTTTCATTCAAATTATATTCATATATATTTTTTATGTAAAACTTTCGGGTGTATGCTAAATTAGTGTAAATTACTTTACACGAAAAATATAGTGAATGCACAGAAATTAAAGATTTGCACATGCCAGGAAATGAAAAATAGGAATATGTATGGGTATTTATGCATGTGCTTGCAAAAAAGCATGTATCTGCCTTTGACAAAATACTTAAATATTCATTAAATATTTATAAATGTATTTGAAATGAAGAATTTATTCACTTATAAACAACTGTAAAAGTACTGTGAAGAAATCTAATGATTAAATGTATCTAATTTATAATGATTATAAATGTTATCTAAATATATAATAACCTTAATATTGAATTGTAAACATAAATTGAAATCCTGTTGACAAATACGTTATAAAACTATTTAAGCAAGAATTGTTCGTATTGGAAAGCAATCTGTTAAAAGGTATTGTAAAAATGCTATGAGATGCGCACTTAAGAACGTAATAATGAGAGTTTTGGAATATGTATTGTTGAAATGAAGGGTAAAAAAAAAAAATCTGATAAGTATAATTAAAAGAATTATTCCCTTTACATTTTATAATAACTCAGTTACAAGTTTTAAATAATACTTAAAAAAAAAAAAAAACTTATTTTATTCCCTTTCAGAAATGTTCAGAGAAAGTCAAATACTATTTAATACCTATTTAATTATTAGGAATTAGCGAAATACTTATTTAAAGTATTTCGCTAATTCCTAATAATTCTCTAATTTAAAATGAACCGAATAGAGCATTAATTATAAATTGACTTACATTTTTCGATTTAAAAGCCTCAGAAGCCAAAAAATCATGTCATTATTTAAGAAGTATTTTAGGAAGAAGCTCTATAAATAGAAAAGAAATAATGCATAATTTTAATATTAATAATACAATAAAACTTGATCTTAATTTTTGTACCTTAACCGAATAAAATCAAATTACCTTAATTTTTTTTCTAATGTAATTAACGAAAACTTGTGAAAATATTTCATTCAAATTAAACCATTCTGAGAAAAACTGTCCTGTGAAAAGTATAGCATTTAATTCCCTTCAGAATGAAATGTTGTTTTCAAAAAATATGTTGTTTTCATTACTAGGACTCTGAAGTGTTGTAGAAAAAAGAAAATATATACATTTATATGTATATTTACGATGTAATTACAAAATATTTACATCCGAACGCGTCAAATCCCATAGAACTCAATGGTAAATGACCCAATGTTTTGGTCACCACGTAGGGATCGCCGGTGCTTTAGAGCAGGGTTTAGGGCAACTCCATCTTACTTCCTACCTCCATGGTTGCAGTTACCTTCCAAGAATGTCCCTAATGGGCTGTATTGGTGAGAGATCTGGTGACCTGGCAGGCCACAAGAGTGCATCATATCCTTGAAGATAGTGGTAGAGTCACCCAGTATGTGGACAAGCATTGTCTTGCTAATAAAAGGCATCTGGGTGATTTAGTAGCAAAGTCAGTACATCCAGCTTTAAAATGTCGTCCATTTAACTGTGAACCATCATAGTGCCTTGAAGGATGAATAGAGATGACTATGTGTCCCACAAATCGCTTCCCTACACTGTCGCTCCTTGTGTAATCACCATGTGCCGCTCAACAACAAATGTTGGAACACTGGCCTGGCCGCCTCCACATGCAGGTGCATTGGTCATCAACACTGAGGCTCAATCAGGATTCATCATTGAAGATCACATTCCAGCTTGCCCGAGTTCAGCAAAAATCCAATCAACACTGCCGATGATGTTGGGTCAGTGGTTGGCTTCTTAATGGACATCAGCAGCATATACCAGCATCGGGCAGTTGTCTCCAAATGGTTTTCCTTGATATAGTTTGACTGTCTATTGCAAATCCTCTGTTGGCATTTTGCCAAAACACATATAATCGTCCGAAAGGGGCGTCAGTTAAGAGGTGAGAGTTCTTTGTTCGTCGGTAAAAGGGAATTTATATGATCGAGGGAGGGAAAATCCTCATGTCATCGGGTGATGATGTTGCATCAATTGTCTTTCGCGTCTTTAATGTTTATTATTATTATTATTTTAGATTTGTAGAAAAAATATGAATAAATTATTAAAAATTACAAAAGAAGCTCTTGAAAGCGTAATGATAGAAAAATGGAAGAAGTACTGAACTCGTGTAGAAATAGTAGAAAATGACTACTGGAAAAAAAGATGGTTTGATTGAAAATTTATGCAAATCTTTGGAAGAGGAGGAAAACTTGGATATGTGTAGTGACTGTGATACAGAATAATAAGTACTGAGGAAAGAAATTTCGTTTTTTAGCTCCCCAGTACATGTAATACTGCATATAGCTTTCAGTGCAAAAATCAAAGCGACGTAATATTTATTTATTATAATATAGTTATTATAATTACTCAATAAATGTAATAATTATTTATCACTGTATAATCATTTATAATTAATAGGAAATTTTTCAGTGTGTAATAATGTAGATAATTGTAGCTCGAAGATATAAGAAAACTAATTATCAATTACAACATAATTTTTATTGGCATTAAATAGAATGAATGATAAAGTTAAATTATTAGAACTCATGTAAATAATATCTAATGAAAATCATAAATAAAATATATAAGAAGGAATGATAATAAATTACTTATTTTTTTATAAAATTTATACTCAAACTATTTTAGAAAACACTTGTATTTTTAAGAATATATAGATAAATGCTTGATATTAAACACAATTTAATAAAACAGCTAATAATAAATGATTAACAACTTAGATTACTTAAAAGTAATTTTGTTTTCTTATGTCTGTGCCCTTTGAAGGCTGTGGAAGTGAACAGGGAAAAAGTAAAACGGAAAAAATCCCTACCACATGATTCCACCTGGTTTCCACCCACCCCATTTTGAAAATAAATCGATCCAAATGGCGCATGCTTGTTTGCGCTCATGGTCGCCGATAAGACAGTTGAACTATACCACCGGATGCCTGGAAGGTGGTAAGTGCCGTTGAATTGATGCGGAAGTGGCCGCCCTTGTGATTATATCCTTATGCTGATTTATCTTCCTGAGATACCCTGATCCTCTGCGACAATAGACTATCCTTTCCATGATTCTTGTATGTTTATGTTTTTCAACATTATCGTCATCACGGAGCAGCTACCATTTCGCACCGAGCGAGGTGGCGGCCAATACGCCTGTTTGACCAAACTACTTCTCTGAAGCCTACTATTCACCCCTTCTTAAAGTCTGATGACTGTTCATACTGCTACCAATTACATCTCAAAGGTATCTCTCGTCACAGTACTGTCTGCCCAAGCCGACAGCTTCATTTGAATAGCCATGCGGCATGGGTAATCATGCTATTAAACTCTCCCAGCTGCACATATGATATGCGGATAGCGAACTTACCCTTGTCTCAATGGCGTCGAAATTTAAATCATTTGCATATCTCTTGCCAGACTACATTCCTGCCGAGTTTCATGATTGTGGCTCAAATTCTCTTGCGTGTATATATTTTTTTTGTGGCAGAGTATATATATATATATATCTAAATAATAATAAAAAATCAGATTTTGTTTGAATTTAATTTGCTTTTTAATTTTAAGTCGGATTTTCCTTAAAAGTTAACACCTAATATTGGTGATAATTTCATTCAAGATCTGCAGCATATTCACTTAATCACATGTTATATTGTTTTGTTTCACAAATGATAAATTC